AGCATCCCTGGGGATGATGGCAGATGGCAAAGATGGCCCGGAGGCCTCAGGTGTCAGAGGAGATGGGCATTTGGTTGGAGGAATCCATGTGTGATGGGGGAAGGGTGTCTTGGAAAGGAAGAATCAGGATGTTGTGGGAGCACGGGTGTGGAGGGGAAATGGATGAGTTTTGGGGAACCCTTAGGAATGATGTCCTGGGGGCGCCTGGGTGGCTCAGTGGGTTAAAGCCTCGGCCTTTAGCTCAGGTCATGATCCCAGAGTCCTGGGATCGAGCCCCACATTGGGCTCTCTGCTCAGCGGGGAGCCTGCTTCCTCCTCTCTCTGCCTGCCTCTCTGCCTACTTGTGATCTCTGTCTGCGAAATAAATAAATAAAATCTTTAAAAAAAAAAAAAAAGGAATGATGTCCTGGGCAACTTGTGTGGGAAAGATGAGACAAGCTGTCTTGGGCATAAGGAAGTCCTCTGACCTCCCTAGATAAGCCTTGATCCTCCAGGGCATAGGAAATTCATACCCTCCCCTGAGGGAGCTCCACAGCCTTGAGTCAGGAGTGCTGTTCCCAGACTCCTGCAGCCCAGGCACGTAACTGTGGTTGGTGATATCAGCCAATAGAGTCCCCATTGTTGATTAGCCTGGCTCTGTTTTTCACTTCAGCTCACAATCTGAATAAGTTTCTTAAATGGTGCCTGTTCCTTACTCCAGATTACCCGCAGGTTAAAGTCCAAACTCAACCTGGCTTTCAAAACCCCAGTCTCTTCTTCTATCATGATGTCCTACTGCTCGTTAGAGGGAGCCTTCTCTGAGGCTGAAAAAGTCTCTTACCTGGGACCCTGTGGGCTCTGAAAATGATTTCATTAGTATCATATCCTCTGTGGGGACTCCTGGGCTGCCAGGAGAATAAATCAGTTTTATTCTGTGCTGCCCTCTGATTATTTCTCTGCTCCTTCCATTAGGCTATGAGCCCCTTGATAGCACTAGGTCTACTGCATTTGGGCCAAGCTGGGCACTGTGAAAGCACCCAAATACAAACCTGGAGAATGAATCAATGACCTCTGTGGGTGTGGTCTGTCCTGCATAGCTAGAGCAGGCCTTTTTTGGAGCTGATAAGACCCTGGACCTGGTCCACTGCAGAAGAGAACCGCTACCTGGAGGAAACTCCTCTAAGTCCCAAGGTGACCCCGAGGGAGAGACTTGTAGGCAGGCTCAGGTTTGTATTCGTTTGACTGACCCCCAGGAATCGCTGCCCATATTTTACTTCCATTCCTTTCCCAATAAGACTTGCTTCCCTGAGTCAGAGGCACATGCAGCTTGAATCAGAGAAAGACCAGAAAAGCTGGCCCTGAGATAGAAACTAAGTAACAGACACAAAACTTAAGATTGAGATGCCCACAGAGAGGAGGGAATGCTGACCAAGGACAGAGCCCCGAGGGCAGACATTCAAAGATGGAGAGCAGGGCTGGCCAGGCTGGGGATGGCAAGCCCAGACAGCATCACCTTCATCTACTCTCTGCATCAATGCAACATCTTCCGAGGGGTTCCCTGCTGCTTGCTCTGCCTCTCACCCAATCTGCTAGTCAATAGGAACTTTCTAAACACCTATCTGAATATGTCATTTCCTCAGATCCCAGAGTGAAGAAATCTCCAATACCTTTCCTGAGTTACAAGACTGCTGACACAAGCCCCATATACTACCAGATCCTTCAATTCCAACCATTGTGGACTTCTCCCCAAGCTTGCTCTCCCTGGCCTCTAAGCCAGAAACCATGCTGCTGCTCCCTCTACCTGGGACACGCATTCTGCCCTGCCTCCTCCCAAGTTGCCCATTCTATACCCAGTGTCCCTTTGTCAAGGGCAGCCTCTCCCACAGCCCAAGAGCATTCTCACCCCATCCCCCACCTTCTGGTCTGATTGTCCCTCCCACATTGGAGCTCCACCCCAGAGACTCCAGGCCAGGCTGTCCTGGAGAGTATTCTCCATCTTCCTACCAGCTCTCATCCTTGGCCTGGTGGGGGGTGGGGAGGGTGGGGGGTACAGGTTTGCCAGCTCTAGGGCCATGTCCATCTGCCCTTCATATCACAGTCTCTCACTCTGTGTAGCAATTCCTTTTTAGGGTTGTGATTCGTCCTATATTCTCCACTTGTCTCTTAAAAAAAAGTTGCCCACTCATTTTCTATTTAAAGAAAAATTAAGTTAATTTAAAGAAAAACATTAAATAGTGCACATAGTACAAGGACACTACATGATAATAGTTTGGGAGTTGTGACTTAAACATTTTGGTACTCTGTTCAGACCCCTTCAATCTCTTTTATTGTTTCTGGGCATCCCTCTCTGGGACTTGATGTGCTTTGGCCTCCCGTGTCTGGTTCCTGTCCTCAGGTCACTGGGACTCTTTTGTTCCCATTCTCTCTGAGAGCCCAATGTGCCTGGGAGGTTTAAGTGCCCCCCACCCGCCCCCCACCAACTCACAGGGTCAGCCCATAGCTTTAACTGACAGGTGAGAGTATGACAGCTAGTTCCTTAACCCTCATTTTAGACAACACTGAGATCCTGTCTAGAACAGAACCTAACACATATAGTGGCACTCAATAAATGTTTGTTGAGATAAAAATGTATCAATCTTATCCTTTGTAATATCTGTGTTTCTTTGTAAATTTTGTCACTCTTAGCCTTTTCCCATCTGACATTTAAAAAGCATTTGTTTTCTTACACTTATTCTTTATATTTAATTATTTAGTCCATCTTGGTACACTGTAAAGACTAAGATAAATGTATTTTCTTCTCATGACTAATTAGGTGAATCAACAGCAATTCCTGACTCTTTTCTTCATCTATCAAACCAAGATACTACCTTATCTAAGACTCATTTAGTGAGGTATTATGTAATCATTTATTATGGTAGTTATACATGATTGTCACCACATGGAAAAATGCTCACCCTATAATTTTAACCATGATATATATTAAGATTTTATCTATTTATTTGACAGAGAGAGAGAGTATAAGCAGAAGGGAGGGGCAGAGGGAGAGGGAGAAGCAGGCTCCCCACCGAGCAGGGAGCTGGATGCAGATCTCCATCCCAGGACCCTGGGATCATGACCTCAGCCAAAGGCAGACAGTTAATGGACTGAACCACCCAGGTGCCCCTTAACCATGATATTTTTGTATCAACATAAAATTATGCCAACACATTGGAAATGACAGGGAGAAATGGAGAAAAATAGATTGATTTGAGGTTGGAGATAGGGTTGTGGGTGATTTTTCCTTTTTATTTCTATGAATATTTATGAAATAATTAATAAACTGAAACTTTAAATGAACAAAATATGGAGAACAAGGACTTAAAAGATAGCAAGCTGTTTTCTTACTTGAGCTTGAGACAAAGGCCTGGTGAGGTAGTTTTGTTTTTGTTTTTTTTAGAGGTGATCTCAGGAGGAAGCTGAGGACAGTGAAGGATTGTTACTGGAGGGTCCTTGGGAGTCATTCTTCCAGGAAAGGCTGGACAGGAGAGGTTCTGTGTTTGAAAATCATGTTCTTTGGCCTTGTACCTCTGAGTTCTGAGCTCCTTCCCCGCCTCAACTAAGTGAGCAGAACCTCTGGACGTCCCCCACCCAAAAGGTATCAAGGCCTTAAGCATATGGATCCGTGAGTCCAAATGCTCCTATCACCTTGCCCTGGTTAATAGGATACTGCATAAACCAGGCAGCAAGGATACTGATCTGTGTGGTTGTATCTAATAATCGTAGGAGATCCTTATCTCCCTGCACAGCTTTATCTGGAAGATCCCTCTGCCCCCTTAGAATTCTGCAGTTTTTAAAAAGTTGAATTCAAAGAACATTATAATTCACTAGGCCCTGGGCCAGCCATGCCGTCATAACAAATGTGAAAAGCCTGAAATGTAGGGACAAGTGTAGTCCTGGATGCCATGGGGCCCTAATCTGGTCTGTATTTGGGAGGGTTAGGCAGGGCATGTCCTAGGGCCTGGGTTACAAACTCTAGGGCTTGGCGTCCTAACCAAAAGGGCACTTAACTTCAACCCTCACATCCCAGCTGCCCCATGCAACCGACTGGGGACCCAAAGGTGCCGTGAGAAGCGCAGATACTCAAGCCTGAGCGCACACCGAGGCGACTGGCACCAGGACCCACCCACACGCACAGAGCCAGGATGTCACTTGAGGTCTTGGATTTGGGGCCTGTGGAGCTTGCCCGACTACCTTTTAGAGCAGCTCCGCTGAAGTGCTTTCCCACCTGCTTGGCCCACTGTCCCACACCCGGACCCTCACTGGGCTCCACCTGGCCCAACGATCTGGCCAGAGGGCTTTTCCCGGAGTGTACTTTAAAACTTCCGAGAGGTTCGCTGGTTCCCCCGGTGAGCACGCGACCTGGCTGCAACCAACTCCGGGCTTCAGGAGATGTAGAGATACGAGAAAGGACCTGCCAGAGTCTCCTCTTTCAAGTCACTACGGGGCTGGGTGTGCGCACAAGGCCTGAAATGCGCGCGCAACCGGGCCCGGGGAGGTACGGCTCTACGCCGCAGTCCGCCCACTCGGCCTTGCCCACACGTCACGCTCCGCGGGCCCACCCCCATCTGCCTGATTGGTGCAAAGCGCGCGCGAGCGCTTCCGCCCCGCCCTCGGACCCGCCCTCCTGCCGCACTGCCCCGCCTCCGGCTTACAGGGTTGTCTGTGCCGCTTCCCAGTTGGAACGCGGAGGCGCGGGCGCCCAAGGGCTCCGACCCTCCGTGGCTGAGGGGGCACTTTCCTGTCATGCATGCACTCTGGCCGCCGCACCAGGCCTGACAGTGGCTGGCTGCTCTTCAGAAGCACAGTGCCCGCCCAGCTCGGCCCGCCACAGGCCCCTTCTTTTCCTCAGCCCTCGACTGGCTCTCCCAACCCCCTAATTGCAGAGCACCGGAAATGCCCACTGCCCGGGCCCCTCTCGGCGCCGACACCCCCACGTGCCAGGAGGTTGGTCCTCCAGGACCCGCCGCCTGGCAAGCAGGCTCTCAGGCCCGGTGTGGATGCAGGTTCCTCCGGCACCCCACGCTCGGAGCCCCCAGCCGCGACCACAGACGCCCCCTCCTGAGCCCTCCAGGATTCTTCCCACTCTGGCACCCCTCCGCGGCCCCGCACGCCCCCGGTTCTTCCTCACGCCAGCGCCCGGGACTCCTTGGCGGACCGCCTGGTTGTGTAAGGGACCTTAGCAGTCACTACCTCCACACAGCGCTGCCCTTCTCGCCTTGGCCCCAGACTCCTCGGTCCCCGCACCCGGACGTCCCTCACCCTGCATCTCCCCTAAAGCATCCTCACGGGACACCCTCCCCCCCGGCCAAGTTCCTCCTCCGGCCTTCCCCCGGTGAACACCCCTCGTCAGGGCCCAAACTCGTTCACGCAGCCGTGCGAGCCCTCCTCGGCCCTCGGGCCCCACAGCGCGCACCCCTCTGTACCCCATCCGCACACCCGCGGGCCCCCGCCTAGCCCCCACGCCCCTCACCCCGTCTGCCAGACTCCTCCCCACACCTCTCCCCCCACCTCCGGGCCCCTCGCATCTACGGCCAGAACCCCTCTGGATCTCCTGCACCGCCAGCACTGCACCCACTCGTCTGCCCGAGACCCCCTACACCCACCCGCACGCTTCTCCCGCCCTCCACTCACCCCTCCGTCTCACCCCATACCCCTATCCCCGCCCCCCGCCCCGGGGCCGGCGGGCAGCGCCGGTGGCGGCGGCGGAGGCCGGTCCCCGGGCCGGGACACACCCACCCGCCCGCCCTCCTTCTTTCCCTCGCTCCCTCCCTCCTTCCCGCCCGCCCTCCCGCCCTCGCTCGGCGCTCGCTCCTTCCCCCTCGGTCGCTCCCGCTTCCCGCGGCGCCCGGCCTCCCGCTCCGCCTCCCCGTGCGCGGCTCTCCCGGGCGCGGCTCCGGGGTTCATGGTGACGAGGCGGCGGCCGCTCCAGCCCAGCGGCGGCGGCGGCGGCGGCGGGAGCTGGGGCGCGGGCCCGGGCCGCCTCTCCCTGAGCGCGGGGCCGGGCGGCGGGCGCGCCCAG